TTTTTTTGTTCAGTAGTATTAAATATTTAGTTGTGCATGCTAATTTCCTATATTTTTTTTAATTATTTTTATTAAGGAAGCAATATAATTACAAATGAGTACAAGAAAACAAACCTAACAGTAAGAGGAAAAATAAAAAACAAAAAACAAAATGCCTATATTTTAAGGGGATTTAGATTACCTTTACCATCATCTGTGTTGTGTAATATGTAACATTTATTAAAAAAAAAAAATAATAATTGTTTGAAATAGTGTATTCTATTACCGTTTTTTAGTTTTTAAAAGTCTCTTCTGCTCGCCGAGACTGCATTTATTTGATCAAATATACAGTAAAAAAAGTAAAATTGTGAAATATTATTACATTATAAAATATCTATTTCTTTCTATTGTAATATATTTAAAAATGTAGTTTGTTCTTGTGATCAAAGCTGAATTTCCAGCATGATTACTCCAGTCTTCAGTGTCACGTGATCCTTCAGAAATCATAAATAATGAATAAAAATACTCATTTCTTTCTATTTCTAAAAATAGAGTAATGACCCATTTCACTATATTTCTATATGAGTTCAAAGCCTTAGATATGGCACACACATCATATGGATTAATTTGATATATTTATGTTGTTTTCTGTTGTTTCGTCTTCATACAATTCCTGTATCGTTCCATTGAAGAAATGGTTTGGGTGAGTAAATGATGACAGATTACTATTTATTGAATTTTTTTTTTCAAAGGTAAACTTTGTCTTTATAGAAACGGGAGTTGGGAGAAGCTCCACACAGTGTGTTAACCCTCTGGAGTATGAGAGACCCATTTGCCTGCAGTAAAGTGTGTCTACACAAGATTTATGTGTGTCATTGATTTGCCCCACTTACTTTAACAGTTTCCACTGTGTCCCTGCAAAAACACAGCAGTGTGTGTGTGTGTGTGTGTACTGAACAGGAAAACTTGTCCCCACTGCAGTTGAACAATATCTCTTACCGTATGTATCTCCACAAAGACATACAGAAGTTCCTCTGGATAAAAAGCATATGCAATTGTAATATTCTGTTCATTTGCATGCATTCACTTGGATGCAGTCTATATGCTATGGAATATATATATATTTATTCATGCTTACCTGTGCAGTTGTGTCCCTGGGCTTATACCGCATGAAACGGGGAGGGTCATTTCTTCTCATTATAATTCTGCCATCAGTCTTTGTGCGACTGCAGCTCTCGGCTCTCGGCTCTTTATTAATCGCCGTGGGATAGTGTATCGACTCGAACACTCTGCTGCTGTCCGGTCGCCCGTGTGTTCAGGGATACTGGCGAAAAATGCAGCATTTGATCACGGTTTATCACAGCGGCTGATCCAGAAAGCACTTTATTTCACTGCCGGCTGATAAATGATGCAGACAGTCTGTGAGGTTACCAGGGAGAAAGTCTGGTGTACGCTGATAATGCAACACGAAAAAAATGCCCATGAACTTTTTGGGGTTTTTAGGTTTTGGGGTTTTTAATCAGGATTTTAGGTAACAAATATGTATGCATAAACGAAAGTGTATATGAAGAGTTCAGATGCAAAAGCCTCTAAATGCCATTTGAAATTTTCTTCTTTAATGATGATTTTTGTCAAACTTGCATATTTAAGTTCAGTAATTTCACTTAAATAACAATTAATAGGTAATTATCATTGCCATTTAAGTGAAATTACTGAACTTAAATATACAAGTTTGATAAAAATCATCATTAAAGAAGAAAATTTCAAATGGCATTTAGAGGCTTTTGCATCTGAACTCTTCATATTTTGGATGATGTAACTCCATTATTTATTTATTTATTTATTTATTTTACTTAAAAAAGTTTTTTTAACATTTATAATAACCTTATAAGCTGTTTTTTTTGTGTGTTATGACAATAACACATGTTAAAACATTGTAAACATTGTTTTTTATATATATTAAAACAATGTTTTGTGGTGTTTTGTGTCTGCAGGTAGTCAGAGTGGGAAATCATTTTAGCTGTTTTAAGATGTCTTTTTTTCATCCAGATTTAATATACAGTTTTATACACTTCTTTTTAAAAGTTTGGACTCTTTTAAAAGATTTTAATAATTAATAGAAATTAAATACAACAAAATTAATAAGAAAGAAATGCTACACTCTAAAAAATGCTGGGTTGTTTAAACCCAAATTTGGGTCAAAAATGCAATTAAAAAAATTGCAGTTGAAAGTGAAAGTTGAAGTTGGGTTAAAATTGAATTTTTAACCCAACATTCGGGTTTGTCCATATTTTACCTAATTTTCGGTTCAAACAACCCAGCATTGTTTAGAGTTTAATAAATAATGAATACATTAACGAATAATTTATTTATTAATTTTATAATAATTATTAATGAATAGTAATCAATAATTAATGAAATAATTAATACAAAATAGAAATTGATCATTTTATACAGAAAGAATGGCTTAAATGGATCAAAAGTGCCCACACTCTAAAAAATGCTGGGTTATTCAAACCCAAATGTTGGTTTAAAAATGTAATTAAAAAAGTTGGGTTGAAATTTTAAACTAAATTTTTAACCCAACATTTGGGTTTGTCCATATTTGACCCAATTTTGGGTTTCAAATAACCCAGCATTGTTTAGAGTGTAAAAATGTTTGTTGCAAAAGATTTATATTTCAAATAACTGCTGTTCTTTTGAACTTTCTATTCATCAAAGAATATATTCAAATAGAAACAGCTCTTTTAAATTATAATCCAATTTCACAATATTACTGTTTTACTGTATATTTGATCAAATAAATGCAACCTTGATGAGAATAAGAGATTTAAAACAGCCTGCACTAATGAATTATGCACGATAAGACCAGAAATGATTGTTAACGCAAATCAATGTAAAATCAGCATGTTAATGTTTTAAAGTACACATGCATTCAGATGTATAATCACATGAACTACCCTACTTTCTGCAGATAGTTTGGCATGCAGTTTGAACTCCTGTGGATTCTTGAGTGTTTGGCATTGCAGGACCACAGGGATCTGTCTGTAACCGGTGTGTGTGTTGTATATGCTTTGTGCTGGTTTAGTGAATTAGCAGCAGCACCCACTTCATTTTCTGAATGAAGAGCATCGGCGGCTGTGCGTGGGGGTTTTGTGGAGTATCTTATCTCGCTCGAGCAGCGCTGATAACAGAACTGAGACTGAATCAATTCTTGTGGCTTTTCCCAGAAGTAGCCCACGACATCTGCCCTCCAGATAGAGGAGATAGAGGCCGGCCTACATTCACAAGCACACGCTAACACTCATGCATTTACTAGTCTTTCAAGCATCTCTTTTACTTTTACTATGGGTTAAGGATTAAAATATGCCCCTAACCAAAAGTATGATGCATATTTTATCATGGCACTGTTTGAGTACTGAGTGAGAGCACATTATGAGGAGAGACTCAGTCTTGTCTTCTTCTGCCACTGCTGAATGTGTCAATCATGTGATATGCAGATTAAGGCGAACGGCACACACCACGGATGGGGAACAGTACGTAATCTGCTTTCCCCCCGAACAAATACTTTAATAATGAACAGATTAAGAATCAGATGAGCCTTCCAACACCTCTAAATTCAGATTGTTGAAATCTAAATTCTAGATTAATTCAGATAAGGATTTTTTTAATCCGCTTGATAGCACATTTTTGTGTATTACACGTGCACTTAAAACTAAATAATCATGTGAAAGTGAAGTTTAAGAGTTTGCGTCGAGCCTGTCAGTGCAGAGATGCTCTCGGATTGAAAGTGTGTGTCTGTGTGTGTACTGGAACTCTATTTAAATGACTCTGGTGACATCTAGTGGAAAAGCAGTGAAACGTCTGTGTCCAGTAATGCACTGCTGTATGTCTTTCTGCTCTGCTGTTTTTAATTGGAGTATCATAAGTAAGGAAATTATCAGAATATTTCTAAATAATTTACTGATATGCTCTCTTCTTCTCTTGCAGACACAATGGTCCTTATTTTTTTTGTAACAGAAGCTCCAGACACAAACAATTCAACAGTGACCCATGACACTGGTAAGTGCTCATCATTTATAGTTGATAATAATAATAATAATAATAATAATAAATTGAGCATTTTCTTGTAGAGTTTATCACATTTATCGTACACACAAAATAATTTATTTAGCAATTTTTCCATCACTGAAGATAAATTCATAAATAAAGAAAAATACCTTTAGATTGTCTTATATAGGCTGTATGGTATTATTTTGCAATCAAATAATCCATCCATCCATCTTTGTTTTATTGTCTGTTGTACTTCCATTCATTTTTGGTATTTGTGAGAGTCATTGACTTGATGTGTGAAAACAGGATCCTATGACACAGCTGTTTGACTCAAGGTGGCGCTAGATGATGTCACCTTATTCACACACACATACTGTAAAAATGCTTCCTTAAATTCAGAACAATCAACTTTGATGTTAAGTCAACTTAAATTACATTAACTACCTTAAAGAATGGGTTGAAACTTGTATAACTTAAAAAAAGTTGAAAATTTCTTATTTTGATGAGTTAAAGCAATGTAAAAACATGCTGTCATACATTATTGATCATATAATTTTTTTTACAGTTTTTAATTTTTAATTATTTTTTAAATTTTTTTTAAAAAAAATACATTTTTCAAAAAAAATAATAAAATAAAATAAAAAATATATATATATATATTATATATATATATATATCCTCCCTGGTCGCTGTCAGCGTTTAAGCATTACGTAAGCATCAGTGTGTATTTGTGTTAAATCTGCGGTGGATTACGCAGACTGCTGCCGTAAAGTGCTGATCGCGGGGTTTAGCGGGTGATTCTTGTCAAACCTGCTGTTAAATGAATGAGCGATGCTTATCCCCGCAGTCAAAACAGCTCCAGCGTCTCCATTAAATCACCAATAATGCCTTCGCTTGACTGGCTGCCATACCTCACTTAAACGCTAAGTGTGTCTGTTCCGGCTCCGGCGGCTCTGTTCGTGGGCCAGTTTCCTGTTCTTTTGTTCACCGTGGGTTGAACTGCCTCTCCTTCTTCCTTTAGGGGACTCGTACCACACACACATCCTGCCCATACTGCTGGGGCTGTCCGTCTTGCTGCTTTTTCTAGGGTTGCTGACCTGGTTTTGCCACAGGTATGGCACACAACACACACACTGAGAGTTGTTAACTGTGAGTCTGTCATGCTCACAAGCTCCGCCCATTTCTGATTAAGGGAGGGACAGGAACTGAGACATGCTGTCACACACACACACACACACACTCATATATTTATTCATACATAGAGGTAAACCCACAGATTTTCGCATGGTTGTAGCAGAGAGTGTGTTGTATAGCGTGTGTCCGTGGAGAAACAGCACCTCTGATGAAAAAGAGCTCGAGTTTTCGTTGGTGAGACGCACTTGAAGACTGGATTGTGATATAAATCCTCTTTTTTACTGATATGTTTAACCCTCCTTTTGTTTTTTAGGTTGAAAGGCCAAAGGAAAGCTGTCATCACAGCCGTCGACAAGAAAGTACCAAATGGGATCCTGGAAGAGCAAGGTACACGGTTTCTTTATCAGCTCTGAGTCTGAATCGATCAGCTATTTAAGATTGGATATAAAAGGAACTGGGTGATTTTCAACGCTCTGTTGTAAAGCGAGACGTCTTGGCGAGTTTCACTTTATCAAACGTGCTTTATTCGGCTTCCTGTTGCCTCAAGATGTAATGTGCCTCTTGAAGAGAGCAGGACGTGAGCGTGTTCGTGTGCTTTATTCTGTCCAGAACGACTGCAATTGCCTAACAAGTGGATTATATGCTGATTTTTGAGGATTAATGTCATCTGCATCCACAATGTTTACAATGAAACACCAAACCATTGATAAAAAAAAATATATATTTTTTTTTATTTAAGGTAACATTATTTCACTAACTTGTGTTTTCATGGCTTTATTCTATACACAAGCTTAACTATTAACATATTTTAAAGTTTTGGGACTTTTTAAACTCAACTTTCAAGCCAACCGCAAAATTTGCCTTGACGCACTTGTTCTTTTCTAGTTTAATATTAGTGAGCAGATATTACACTGTGAATCTTTTGGCTAAACTTTGTGTATTGAATTTTTGGTTACACTCTATTTTGCAGTTTCATATGTTACATGTAATACCTCTAAATTACGCATAATTACACGCAACTTACCCTTAACCAAACCAAACCCTAATATTAACCCTCTAGCAAGTACATGTAGTTTCTTAAAGGGATAGTTCACTTTGAAATACATTTTTGCTATGTTTTAGCTTAGTAAAAACAATATAAATACTGTTCGTTGTCCCTCACAAACCGCTCGTTTCGTGTCTTAGGCCATCAATGTGTACTTACATTTATGAGTCATTAAATCATGTTTAATTTTGTCTTCTCTGTGCATGCTCTTTGAGGTGGTGACCATAGACCTTCATTATATGACTGATAGACAAGAACGGTTTGACCTAAAAATATCAAAATTAAAACTACTGCGGAAACACAGACACCTACATCTTGGGTGTCCTTGACGTAAGCTAAAACATACCAAAAATAATTTTCAAAGTGAAATATCCCTTTGAAGGTGCATTGCACAAGTGTCTGAGTTTTTGCAGAACTACGCCCCCTCTGGCGACAAGCGAAACTGCAACCAGAGGTGTGCACGCTTACGGACCACACACACACACACACGCTTACACGAGCTGTTCATAACCAAACGACCATCAGCCGCACAAATCTTTTGTTACAGTCATAATGTCTTCAGAGGTAATGAAGTTATAAATCTGCAAGTCATTTTAAATATATGAAAGGAAAGGCATTTGAGGAAATTACACACTTATGTGAAACGGGGTAGTAGAAAAATTCGGTTTTTGTTTCCATCTATCTCCATGTTGAACTGTTGTATGTGTTTACTGTATCCGCTTATGATTGTATTATTATGGAAACACGTTCATGAACAATATAAGTTATTACTTTGTATAGGACCCGTTTGAGCCCCAGAGGAGACCGGAGATCTCTCCATTTGTCGAAAGCTTCCCGATGTCGACTCTCGACGCACTAGACACAAGTTTTATTTTCTTTGTCTTACGTGGAGTTGCGTTGGGGGTTTGGAATGAACAACAAGCCGGTCACTTTGAATCCATCTTCTACTTTTGTGGAAAGTTGACTAAAGTTTTGTCGCTCGAGTTGTCTTCGCTGATACGGAGAATGGCGGCGAATACACAAACCTGCCAGACATAGCCAGGCGAGAGTGAACGCGCATGACGTCTCGCCCAGTCTCAAACTCCGTCCCGAATCCCTCTTATTTATTTACTGTACAGGATTATAGAGGCGATCGCAGTGATCAGAGAAGGGCTCATTCAGCTCATCAGGCAATCGTTTAAGCATCTATGGTTTAGAAAAACGGCTATTTTTAACATGAAATTTTGCGCAATGTTACTCGGTACTTAAATGTAGTATTACTTTGTAACAGAGACGCCTTAAAATAAAGTGTAACCAAATAATGCATTGTTTTGTTTCATGGATACAGCGATGGCAACATGATGTGGTTTTTTGTTTCCATTATTAATATTTCCTCAAAAATATTCAAACATGACTAAAACTACGTGAAAGAGGAAGACGGTTATTTTTTAACATATCTTCCTGTTTGCTTTTATTAGAGTTTGCATGTTTGACACAAAAGCTGTGGCTCATGGTTAGCCATAAGAAAGAGATATCACAAAAGTGGTCTCCTGTAAGACTAGATTGTGTTTCTTAGACGGCAATCAATGAGATTAGCCTCCAGAATCTCAGTTTGTTCTCTCCTCGCAATCTCCTCTAGATAGTCAGAAAGGATCTCAAACTGGTTTGCTCTTATAGGGTCAGATTGTCGCCACAGATTGTGTCTTGTCGAAGGTCTTGCAGATTTAAAGGAGTAGTTCACTTTTAAAAAACTTTTGCTGATAATTTACTCACCCCCATGTCATCCAAGATGTCCATGTCTTTCTTTCTTCAGTCGAAAAGAAATTAAGGTTTTTGATGAAAACTTTCCAGGATTTTCCTCCATATAATGGACTTCAATGGGGTCCAAATGGTTCAAAGTCCAAATGAGAGTTTCAGTGCAGCTTCAAAGGGCTTTAAACGACACCAGACGATGAATAAGGGTCTTATCAAGCCAAACGATCGGTCATTTAAAAAATAAATATCAAAGTTTGACTCTCCTGTTCGAACTCGTTCAAAATGAGCAAATCTTTTTTCGAGTCATGAACGAAATGAACAAAATGACTCGGAAAAAAAGATACCACCCGATCGTTTCGCTAGATAAGACCCTTATTCATCGTCTGGTGTCGTTTAAAGCCCTTTGAAGCTGCACTGAAACTCTCATTTTGACCTTGAACCGTTTGGTTCCCATTGAAGTCCATTATATGGAGAAAAATCCTGGAATGTTTTCATCAAAAACCTTAATTTCTTTTCGACTGAAGAAAGAAAGACATGGACATCTTGGATGACATGGGGGTGAGTAAATTATCAGCAAAAGTTTTTTCAAAAGTGAACTACTCCTTTAAGGCTTCCTCTGCACTTTTTCTCCGATTATCCTTTCAACATTTCAATCTGAGAGATTGTTTCAGTGTTCAGAGGTGAACGTCACACCTGTGCAAAGGAAGTGGTTTACCAACTTTCTCCAGCTCTCCGTGCCACACGCTCTATGTGTTTGTCTCTTTGATGTTCACTACCGTTCAATATAGTTGGTGTATATATAGTTTTTTTTTTTTTAATCTTTATTTATCAACTGTTTGACAACCACTTCTCATTTACAAACATGAGCTGGCCAAGAGGCTACAGAAATAAATAGAAACTGTACAAATGTACATAGTCATACACATGACACATGGAACAAGAAATTAAAATAAGAGGAAAAAACCTGAATAAAGTGCTTAAGTCTTAAATGCAATGTCGCTTATATTTTTGTTGAATACGTGATACTTTTTTGGGGTTCTTTGATTAAATATAAGAAAGTACTTATTTGAAGTACAAATCTTATGTAACATTTACATTTCATCACTGTCACTTTAGATAGATTTAATGCATATTTACTGAATAAAAGTATTAATACCATAAAAAAAAAATTTTTTTTGACCCAAATCCATGCAAATATGCTCTTTTTAATGCAGAAAAACACAAACTTTTGCTCATACCTACAAATATGTTTCTTGAAATCCGAACCAGAGACCAGACAATCATAGAGACTGGTGAACTCTTGATTTGAGTCAGTTGGAAACCACCAAGAAACCACCCAGAGCAACACCTTAGATGGTTTCACCTAATTTTTTTTATTTATTAAGTCTATAAGCTGAATAACACCGGTCACTATGTGTGTGTTTGCATATGTGTTGTATAGAGGAATATATAGATGTGGATGATGAGGAAAAGGATGATGAGGATGATGATGATGATCTTGGCTGTCTGTCGGAAGGTCAGGTATACGTTGTGTCTCATGAACAGGCATGGACGTCTAAACTAATATCTCACCCTTTCTAACCTCTAAACCGATGGATGTGGGTTTCTTTGGTGCTTCAAGGGTCACTTGCATTTATGAAGCATCTATGCATAATATGATGCTTGAATATGCCCGTTTCTTTTACAGAGGCATGCTGATAGCTTTCCTGAAAAATAAATTATGGTGTTAAGGCCGGTTCACAGAACGTGTTTTTTTTTTTTTTTTGCTATTAAAAAGTTGTTTTTAATAGTTGGATTTAGAGTTTTTAGAATGATGCGTCATGGTCAAGTTGCTAGAAGAAACGTGAGACGCCTACGCATCGGCTAAAGACGTCCGTCTAGTGTGTGTTTGCATTGAAAAACAATGGATACGTAGTGTCCACAAAACGCTTTCTGTGTGAACGGCCCTATAGCATGTTTTCCTGGGTGACAAAACCGTTGGACATGATATTCTTTAAACAAAAAAGTATTTTAACAGTGTCCTGTTATATATTTAGGTGACTAAATTATAGAATTTAAAAATAGAGATTAGGGGTGTAACAATACATCGTGCCACAATATGTTGCAATAGGATAGTGACAATATTTATCGTGGATAGTTCCCCAAACTAAAAATTACTGTGTGAGAAGAAATTCTCACAAAAGTTTTAGTGTCAGTACTACATTAAACTAATATATAATAATGTTGATTATAATATATAATAATGCAATGGGGGAATAATGCCAAATGTCTGATGTTCCCAGTAAAAAGTGGCCGACATTATTTAAAATATATCAGTGACCGAGTACAAGCACATTCGTCTAATAACTCAGTAACTTCAGCTTCAGAATCATGAATATTGTTATTCTGGTGTCACCATTGTCTTACAAGTCCAAACCTATTAATTTAAACCCACAATGTAATATCAAAGCATTTTAATCAACAGTACATTTTTTGTTCACCTTTTACCAGATGTCTTGGAGAATCGCAATATCGTTTCGTAATTTTAATATCGTGATATATATATGAGGGTATCGTTACACCCTAGTAGAGATCTAAACGTAGAGAATTTTAACTGGCAGTCTACCCTAACATCAAACCCAATCACGATTGACGATACTGACCAAATCTATGTATACACCTCACCTGGATGTGCAAAACACACACAATGCAAATAGCAATGAACGCCTTAACGTTTCTATACACGCTTGTGAAAAAATATTGATGGTTTGACTTAAAAAAGTAAGTAACCTGGTTGCCTTAAAATTTTAAGTTCATTGAACTAGAAAAAGTGAGTTAATACAATGAAGGAGAATGATTTAATCATCAGAAACTCAAAATTATATGTTATCTGAACTAAATAAATTATTTAAGTTGATTTGACAAAATAAAAAATGTTGTGATTACTACACTGTAAAAACATATTGTTGGTTTAACTTAAAGTAAGTAACCTGGTTGCCTTAAAATTTTAAGTTGATTGAACTGGAAAAAAGTGAGTTAATACAATGAAGGAGAATGATTTAATCATCAGAAACTCAAAATTATATGTTATCTGAACTAAATAAATTATTTAAGTTGATTTGACAAAAGAAAAATATAATGTGATTAGTAAAAAAAATATTGTTGGTTTAACTTAAAAAAGTAAGTAACCTGGGTTGCCTTAATTTTAAGTTGATTGAACTGGAAAAAGTGAGTAAATCCAATGAAGGAGAATGATTTAATCATCAGAAACTCAAAATAATAAGTTATCTCAACTAAATAAATTATTATAAAGCTGATTTGACAAAAAAAATATGTTGTGATAACAAATCTTGAAAATATTTTTTTACAGTAACAAAAAGTCACTTTTAGATACAATATAGCAAGATATTTATTTTTGCACTGATATGCAAACAGTCGAACGCCACCTGTCAATCACCTTGCATGTGTGTGTGTCAGTTGGGGAGGTGATTGTATTTTTTGCACTTGTCGTTTAAACCGGGAAGTAAATGTCTATTGAATTTACATGCAATGAATTTACTCAGATTCATTACTTTTCATGTGATTGTCTATAACAATTGTTATTGACCGTGTTCCTCTACAGAGCAACAGACGGTGGTCTTACTGCCAAGATCCCCTTCCACATCCAAAAATTATTTCCCCATCCCAGTAGACAACTTGGAAGAAGAGTATCGGATACGCTCGGCCGATGATGGGAAGCTCTTCCGGGAAGAGTATAACGTGAGTTGTGTTGTGTGCATGTAAAGATTGAATATTGATCATGGCTAGAGATGTCAAAAATACAATAATATTGACCAGAAAAACACTCATGACTTTAGTAGCTTTAATAAGCCCTTCAGAATTAAATATGAACACATTTATGCCTAATACACATATATATATATATATATATATATATATATATATGAAGAGTTCAGATGCAAAAGCCTCTAAGTGCCATTTGAAATTTTCTTCTAGAATGATCATTTTTATCAAGCTTGTATATTTAAGTTCAGTGTTTTCACTTAAATGGCAATGATAATTACCTATTAATTGTTATTTAACTGAAATTACTGAACTTAAATATACAAATTTGATAAAAATCATCATTAAAGAAGAAAATTTCAAATGGCATTTAGAGGCTTTTGCATCTGAACTCTTCATATATATATATATATATATATATATATATGTGTTTATACATATATAATTCAATGTAGTGAAGAAGAATGTATTTGAGAAAACACTGATGAAAAGTGCCTTTAATTATATGTAATATTTGATATTTTGTTTGAAATGTATTCATTTTTTTTTTTCTAGTAGTACGTTTTGGAGCATATTAATTTAGCAGTGGTGTTGAAATTGTACACAAATTCAGTTAACAGCCTATTTTACAGGCCTGAATCTCAACAGCATCATCAGTTTTAATATATATTATTTAATAATGATGCAGCGAAGACAATTGAGAAATCATTGAAAATAAATTGTCATAATTTTAATATTTATGCATTTATTATAGTAGCATGTTTCATAGCATATTAGTTTTGAGATTTGGTAATTTGGTATAAGTCATTTCAAAATAATCTGAAAATTGCAAAAATAAATGCATATCTAGATCCTGACCGTCTGCAAGCGGCTCATTGTTGTTTACACTGATTACGTCACTCATGTTGAAAGTTCCGCATTCGTGTTTTTGTGTTTAGTGTGAACACTGGGTGGAGAGATTGTTATTTTGCTTGTTGCTCGTAAAGAAGCTGATGGTGCATTATGGTGCTGTTATTAACAGAAACACTCCAGCGCATTCATGGGGATCAGCAAATATCCTTCCACATTTGCTGGTGGCTCAACTGCGCTCATTTCCCACTGAGAATTACTGGAATTAAGATGTTCAGGAGTCATCAGGCATTGACTCATTCGAGAATGTCCCCCTCTCCCGCTTTTAGACGCATGATTCAAGATTCACTCCTCTCACAGGCCCGTGATTCATGAACACAGTGAATGAACCATGTGAATTTTCTGTCCCATGGAAACGATGTTTTTGCTCAGCAATCTTAATGGCCACTTAAACTATTTAAGTTGGAATGGAAGTGGCTTTGCTGGTCAAACAATGGCCTATACATACAGGAACAAAGCGTCAGTAATATCATCCATTTTCAGCAGTAACAAAATGTCAAGTTTGGTGGGAATTTGAACAGCATGATCTGGTTGACTCAAACACACAATTCTGTAAGAATGAATGTGTTAGGGAACAACTCAAGTGCAATTTAGTTAAATGAAATCAAGTCATTTTTTAAGTTTAATGATGGGTGAATATCTCAGGTGCGTGATCCACAACAATGCATGTGTGTAGAGACAAGAGAGAGCATACTCATAGCATGTACAAAGTAATTCTTTTAATTCTAATGCAGAAATCTTACAGCATCTGTTATTCCCAGACAGGCTGCCATCCAAGTCCAAAAAAAAAAGCTTTATTTAACAGCGCATCCAAGATCAGATGTGCTAAGGATGGTGGCCGTTGGTTTAGTGTTGTTAACATGTTATTTTGTATTGTTGACAGTCAATACCAGGGGGTTCGAAGCAAGGGACATTTGATGAGGCCAATAAAGAAGAAAACAAAGAGAAGAACCGATATCCAAACATCTTACCATGTAAGAATTCTTTGTCTTTTCATCTGTTTAAAGGATTAGTTCACTTAAAAAAAAAAAAACTTTTGCTGATAATTTACTCACCCCCATGTCATCCAAGATGTCCATGTCTTTATTTCTTCAGTCGAAAAGAAATTAAGGTTTTTGATGAAAACATTCCAAGATTTTTCTCCATATAATGGACTTCAATGGGGTCCAAACGGTTCAAGATCCAAATGAGAGTTTCAGTGCAGCTTCAAAGGGCTTTAAACGATTCTAGATGATGAATAAGGGTCTTATCTAGCGAAATGAGCGCTCATTTCAAAAATAAATAAAGTTATAAGCTCAAATGGTCGCCTTGCTCTGTTCTGTGATGAGCGTTCGTGACTCTCCTGTTCAAACTCGTTCATCAAAATGAACGAATCTTTTTTCGAGTCATTTGGTTCATTTAACGAACGAAATTTTTAGATTTTATATTATATTATAGTATTTCTTTTCAGCGATCGTTTCGCTTGATAAGACCCTTATTCATCGTCTGGTGTCGTTTAAAGCCCTTTGAAGCTGCACTGAAACTCTCATTTTGACCTTGTACCGTTTGGACCCCATTGAAGTCCATTATATGGAGAAAATACTGGAATGTTTTCTTCAAAAACCTTAATTTTTTTTTCGACTGAAGAAACAAAAACATGCACATCTTGAAGCACATGGGGGTGAGTCAATTAATTATCAGCAATTTATTCTTTTTTTAAACGAACTACTCCTTTAAGTCACGTCAAGTCACTTTTATTTACAGTATATAGCGCTTTACACAATACAGATTGTTTCAAAGCAGCTTTACAAAGATAACAGGATGTCTTAATGATGCAAACGGAGTTCATCTCGGATGTAAAGCAGCTCAAAAAAGAAACTAGTGTCATTGTTCAGCTGAAGTCACTTCAGTTTTGATTCATTTCCGTTGTGAAGATCATCAGTTATTAAATTAGTTAATTGAATCCATAAAGCAGTTCTGCAGAAAACACTGATGTCATCGTCCAGCTCAGTTCTTATCCAGTAGTGTCAGTGCAAAAAAAAAAAAAAAAGTAGTGTCAGTGCAATCAGATCAATAATACTGTTGAGTATTACTAAGTGTCCTGGACTAAGCAAGCAAGACGTGACAGTGGGTAAGAAACCCAAATCTCTCTCTCTGACCGATGAGCCAAACATTATAACCAGTCACAGGTGAAGCGAATATCGTTGATCATCTCATAACTAGGCCACACATTACAGTCTTACAAACAATCAGTTCTTATAATCGATATACTGGACAGGAATATACTGTAGTGAATATCACCCCCGCATGATCTAATTTCCTCTTGATATCACATTTTTTTGTCTCATTGCTGCTGCTACCCTTGCCATCTGATATCAAGTTCTCTAAATACAGCATTTATCACTTTCAGTTCCTTATGCCCACATCCAAGTCATTTACTCTTACTTCTCACTTGTAAATGTGCTGTTTAGAAGTTCAATCATAAACTCACGGAGGGCCTGAGAAGGAGCAATCAAATGTGTGTCTGTTTGGAAATACATTTTTTTTTTGTCTTTCCTGTTATCCAGATGATCATTCCAGAGTGATTTTAACACCGATCGATGGCGTCCCGTGTTCAGATTATATCAACGCATCATATATTGACGTGAGTGATTTGCCATGCCGTAAAATGCATCAATGCTCTCCGATCAAGTTGACAAAGAAATGGGTTTTACAAACCTATGGGTTTTTATAATGGGGTTTTTTCAGTTTATGAGTTAAATAACGACTGTGGTAAACATAAGTTGACGATACTTGGACATTTTGCTCCACAATGTGAATTAAACACCCATATTGCTGTAATAAGTAACATATACTGCACACACTCACACCCCAAATGTTAGCAACTTGTAGGTCAAAACATCCCAAAAAAGTATCGTCAAGTTGTGTTTACTACCACAGACCTTATTTTACTTTTAAAATGAAATACGCCTGTGTAAAACACGATCACGCCTGCAGCACTCTATTGTCAGAATTGTTTAAACATGCATTTCTTGTTCAAAATACAATTCTTGAGCATGAGAAACAGCAATAAACTGTTTTTTTTATTATTATTACATATAATTATGGTGCAAATGATGATGCATTGCATTGTTTAGTAAAGAAACTTTTTCCAAATTATTAACATTTTGGCAACACTTTACTTAAAGCCGTTATACAAGTATTTTAAATGCATTAATAATGCCTTGTAATGCACATTATAATGCATTCTATGATCGTATGAATATTTATAACCACAGTTGTAATACATTATATATATTCATAGAAAGTACAATGCATTAAACACATCGAACAACTGATTTCAGAATCTGCAAATATTATAATGCATTTTACCTTTGGTTACAATTATTTATGACAAACTTTATGAATATAATGCATTATACGTAAAGGCTTCGAGTAAAGTTTCATCAATTTGTTCACCCTGTTTTGGCAATAGTCAAAAAAGTTTAAAGTAATATCTAAAGTAATTTTTTTTAAAAGTGGTTTCATACCTTGTTTCCCCAGGGCTATAAAGATAAGAATAAGTTCATTGCAGCACAAGGTGAGTGCATCTGAATATAAAAATAAGATTTGGCGAGCAGTCATAACATAACATAATTAAACTGGATAAGATGACGTCTGTGTTTCAGGTCCGAAACAAGACACGGTTGCAGATTTCTGGAGAATGATATGGGAACAGAAATCAGCCACTATTGTAATGCTAACCAATCTGAAAGAGAGGAAAGAGGTGTGTATCTTCTTTTTGGATTTCCTTTTTTGGTCATCAAACCAGTTAAATATGATGATCTGGAAATAAATCTGATGTCAGAATTACATTTGCTGCATGGCTTCTTATTGCTAGATGTAGCAATATATAAGCATAATATTACATATATATGCATTTGGTTGATGCAAACATGTTTTCCCCTCGAGTCCCCTTACATACCTATGCCAAATTACATTAAAAAAGGCATCCGAATGTGAATACAATCACATTTTAATAAATCTATTCGATTTCAAATGAGTTTTTTTTTTTTTTTTTTTTTTGCAAATCTAATCTGTTGATCATCATGGAGTGTGTTCATGATGTTCAGGTGTCACAAGGCCTTTTCCTCTCCATCACGGCCGTGAGCATCTCTGGAAAGACGAATCAATGAGACACAGAACGTAGAGGAGATTAACATCAGCTTTGCGTAGGGCTTGGAATCGATGATTTTAATAATGGCTGATAAAGCTCTGGCTTTAACCTAATTAGTCTGCAAACTCTCATTAATAATGCTCTCGGGCTGGGTAATGCTGATTGACAGACGGGCTGTTTTAAGAGCTCAGATTAGCATCCTGGTGTCTTAAAAGTCACCTTTACTACTCTAATGCACTTACAGCTGTTCTGTGGCGGTGTTAGACAGATTTACTCTATAGGATTGGCATGTAATGCGTTTAACTTTATCTACAGAACTACATGTTTTGACCTTGTGACATGCTCTCGCTTTTAGATCGATTAGAAGAAAATTTCCTTTTTTATATATTTTAGTTCATGTACATTCAAATAGTATGAATAGAAGAAATAAACTAACCTAAATAATGGTAGCTATATATGTATTGTACAGGTTAGCAACATTTTTGTTAACTTTACTTATTTATTTATACATTATTTATAAGTAAGAAAATATATTTTATTTCATATATATATTATTGATTAAGAAAAAATATATATTTATTTGAATAATATGAAGATTACAAAAAGATTACTAAAATAAGAGTAAATTCGTATTAGGAAATGAATGCAGTTGAGCAGAATTTTTTATGAACTTTGTTTTTATTTATTATTGATATACTTATTTAGTAAAAGGAAGAATAATATTAAAATTAAAATAAAAAAAAATAATTAAAAATAAATAAAAATAATGGTAACTTGTACAGGTAAGCAGGATTTTTGTTAATATATTTTTTATTTGTAAATTAATTAATTTATTATTAAATATTTGTTTATAATTACATTTATCTAATACAAGTAAGAAACATTTATTTCATTTATTTTTTACTATGAAAGCTGTGTAGGTTAGCAGCAATTTTGTTTTTATTTATTTATTTATTATTTATTAGTACATAAAATATTGAATACGAGATCATTTAAAATAATGGTAACTATATAAGCAGCTATATTTTTATTTTCTACAAAAACAACATATTTTTTTTACATTTATTTATACATTGTCACAATGTTTATTATGGACTTTTAGTTTGCATTTCATCAGTTCCTGCTTTCCTTTGTTCATTTTCCCACTCCTCCTTTGTTACCATGGTCAACATAATTATGACTGTTTGATTAAATAAATAAGCTAAAAATGATGTTATCTACAGTATATGATAATCTTATTGTGAACACACTGTTTTTGTCTGTAGGATAAGTGTTATCAGTATTGGCCGGATCAGGGATGCTGGACGTACGGTAACGTGCGTGTCGCCGTGGAAGACTTTACAGTACTGGTGGACTACACCATACGCAAATTCTGTGTGCAATATGTAAGTGTGAAAACACTGAAGTCATCTTCATGTGAGCTGTAGATGAAATGTCTCTTGATATAATGGATTAAGGATTGTTCTTGCACTTTATTCTGTGAGAATGTAGCCACAGAGATTTTGTGACTTGTGAACATGTATATATGTTCCTTCCTGTGTGTGTGTGTGTGACCACAGCAGGCCAGCGACGGCACCAAAACTCCCCGTCTGGTCACGCAGCTTCACTTCACCAGCTGGCCTGACTTCGGCGTTCCCTTCTCGCCCATCGGCATGCTCAAGTTCCTGAAGAAGGTGAAGCAGGTGAACCCGTCGTACGCCGGGCCCATCGTGGTGCACTGCAGGTGGGTGTTCCTTCAGCAGGATCTTAATGTCAGGCGAGAACTAAAGCTGTAGTCACACTTCTTGCATGAAGAATGATAGGTGTGAAGTGCGACCAGTTTTAGTCTGCAATCTCGTCATGCAAACATGCACCACATTTTATCGGACCTGTGTCGTATTCTCTGTTTTATAATGATCGGCTCAAAACTTTCATGTCACTATTTTTTTTGCCTTTTTAGCGATTCTCAATACATTACTATACAAGTTAATTCACATTCAAAATTGCTTCTTTTCATAAATGTTCGTTTAAATGTCACTTTAAAAAAAAAAAAAAAACTTTTGCTGATAATTTACTCACCCCCATGTCAACCAAGATGTCCATGTATTTCTTTCTTCAGTCGAAATGAAGGTTTTTGATGAAAACATTCCTGGATTTTTCTCCATATAATGGACTTCATTGGGAACCAAACGGTTCAAGGTCCAAATGAGAGTTTCAGTGCAGCTTCAAAGGGCTTTAAACGATTCCAGACGATGAATAAGGGTCTTATCAAGCGAAACGATCACTCATTTAAAAAAAAAAATAACAAAGTTTAAGTTTTATAAGCTCAAATGCTCGCCTTGCTGTTCTGTGATGCGCGACTCTCCTGTTCGAACTTGTTCATCAAAATGAAAAAATCTTTTTCCAGGTCAATTCGTTCAATTCGTTTCTTGAATGAACCTAATGACTCGAAAAAAGATTTGTTCATTTTGATGAACAAGTTCGAATTGGAGAGTCACGGACGCGCATCACAGAACAGAGCAAGGCGACCATTTAAGCTTATAAAACTTAAACTTTTAATTAATTTTTTTAAATGAGCGATCATTTCGCTAGATAAGACCCTTATTCATCGTCTGGAATCGTTTAAAGCCCTTTGAACAGTTTGTAGTTTGCACTGAAACTGTCTTTTGGACCTTGAACCGTTTGGTTCCCATTGAAGTCCATTATATGGAGAAAAATCCTTTGTTTTTATCAAAAACCTTAATTTCTTTTCGACTGAAGAAAGAATGACATGGACATGTTGGATGACATGGGGGTGAGTAAATTATCAGCAAAAGTTTTTTTTTTTTTTTAAAGTGAACTACTCCTTTAAACAATATTTCATGTTTTATTACTTGTTAACGAATCAATATGGATCATTAATAAAATGAAAAAGTAATATTATAATACTATATTTGTGTTCAAAGCAGGTTAGCTGCAGACAATGATTATAGAAAATAAAATGAGAAATTATATAATGATAACATCATTCTAATTAATTGTTTTTAAAAACTATTTCACAATAAGTCATAAACTTAGCATTGGGGCGGCAACATTTGCACAAGCAAAAACACTCACATTTACTTTAGAACATGTTATAATATAGCTAATATTTTATATTTCTAATGCCATAAAGGTCAAAACAATTATATCTGATCAAAAAGCTTTTATTTTCCAGATTTGACATTTTCAGTTTTATCAAGAGCCAGATCTTCATTGCCAAACTTCTTACTTTATACAGTAACAATAACTTGCAGAATGAAAGTGCTCATTTGAATTTCAGCTTTCGGAAAAAGGACAAATTTTACATAACTTCCATCCACAGTAATAATTTTTCAGAACTTGCAGACCCTTTTGCGTCAGTCATGCATGCATAATTAATTGGGTCAGACAATGATAGACATTATTCAGAACAATTAGCATGTGATTTGAATTAGGTGAAGGAAGGTCCTTTCTGGCTGCTGATTGGTCATATTCATAAAGTGAATTCATGGAGGTCAACGCCTGGGTTTCATGACACAATGTCCTGTCTGTCTGCTCGTGATCAGTGTGTGTGTGTGTGTGTGTGTGTGTGTGTGTGTGTGTGTGTCATAGTCTTGAACGTCTGTCCTCATCCTGTGTGTGTCCTAAACAACCAAACACAGCGTCAGCAATAATGCAGAACACTTCAGTTCCTGTCAAGTTCGGTTGATCACTCATGCCCTCTAGTGTTCAGATTAGAATAAGGCGAGGGAAAATGTGTGTGTTTGTCATTGTGTTTGTAGATATTTTATTTCTCACTTGCAATTATTGTGAATTAATTTGAAGTGAAGACTTTACGAAAGCTGTTTCATGGTGTCTCACACACAAACAATTTCGAACTAAAAAAATAAGTATACGAAAAAATTGCCATGTTGGATTCACACAAAAAAAGAAGAAAAGTCAACATATTAACATGATAAATGAATAAATAAATAAAAAATGTCATATTTATAAATATAGTATGTTTTTATATGCAATATTTGAACATATTCTGATAGAAAATTATTTTTTTCTTGTTTTGCATGTTTTTGTTTTCAACATGATGAATAAATAAATAAAAATGTCATATTTTTAAATATGTCTTAATATATGCAATATATAAACACATATTCTCATAGAAAATTTAATTTTTATCCCTCAAGATCATTGATATTTTGATTATTATTTATATTATATGAATTTATATAGTGAAAAACTGGTTCCTGTATATGTGTTTGGATAAAATGTTTTAGTAACACTTTACTTATTGTATTTTGCATCATAAATGTATTTGCATTATATTATATTATATTATATTATTAATAATGCATTATATCCTATCATAAATAATTGTAACCAAAGGAAAAAGGCAAATTTGGTAAATTTGTAGATTTCTTGTCAAATCCTGTTGTTTGATGCATTATACGTTTTGAAGTTGTTACATAAGTAACTGTGGTTACAATTATTCATGAGATCACACAATGAAATAAGGTGTATTACAAGGCATAATTATTGCATACAAATATAATAATAATTTATAATGCATCTTACATAAAGGCTTTTTTTGCACTAATGAATCACAATAAGAGCAGCAAAGATGATCTATAGCGGTGTTGGTTTTGTGAATAATGGCATGTCTGTGCTGTGTCTCTGTTTCAGTGCTGGCGTGGGCAGGACAGGAACGTTCATCGTCATTGATGCCATGATTGACATGATGTACACAGAACAGAAGGTGGACGTCTCCGGTTTCGTGTCACGGATACGCGAGCAGAGATCACAGCTCATTCAGACAGATGTGAGTTGGTTTTTGTATAATTCCTCTTCTACCTACTTCATTTTTTATTGTCATTACAGAAAAAAAAAAAACAGGTGACTAAAGCAGTTACCTACATAAAAGTCATGCATATTTAAAGGTGTTCTGTGTGTTGTAGTTGCAGTACGCATTCATCTATCAGGCTCTGCTGGAGTACTTCCTGTACGGGGACACAGAGCTGGACGTGTCCTCTCTGGAGGGACACCTGCAGAAACTCCACAACACCAATGCTCCACTTGACCGCGTGGGCCTGGAGGAGGAGTTTAGGGTGAGGATATTTACTGACATTTAAATCGCATCCAAAATAAAAGTTTGTGTTTACAAAATATATGTGGGTGCACTGTGTATAATTATTTTATATATATATATAAATACACACACATGCTTGTATATATTTAAGAAATATTTTCATGTATATACTGCATATAGATTTATATATAATTTATATTATAAATAAATATAAATATTTTATATATAAATAATATTTTTTTCTTAAATATACATGCATGTGTGTGTATTTATATATGAAGAGTTCAGATGCAAAAGCCTCTTAGTGCCATTTGAAATTTTCTTCTAAAATGATCATTTTTATCAAGCTTGTATATTTAAGTTCAGTAATTTCACTTAAATGGCAATGATGATTACCTATTAATTGTCATTTAAGTGAAATTACTGAACTTAAATATACAAGCTTGATAAAAATGGTCATTTTAGAAGAAAATTTCAAATGGCATTTAGAGGCTTTTGCATCTGAACTCTTCATAATATATACAAAATAATTATACACAGTGCACCCACTATATTATGTAAACACAATTTTTTTTTTGGATGCAATTAATCGTTTGACAGCCCTAAAATATATTAAACCTGTTAGAGGACAACACTTCAATTCGATAATGTGATAATGCAATAAAACTGTAATAAAAGCTTATCGTGAAATGAAAATTTGTTACCATCGCATGCCTAGTTGTTTAATTGTTGATTGATTTTTTTTTTTTTTGGGGCGGTGGGGGGATTTCTGTTTTTTCAGAAACTGACAAACATGCGTATTATGAAGGAAAACATGAGGACGGGAAACCTGCCTGCCAACATGAAGAAGAACAGAGTCCTTCAGATCATTCCATGTGAGTTTCAGATCTTCTGCACTCGTGAAGATCGAAAACCCTGAGTGAATTAAATGCCTGATAATCTAAAAGACAGTGTTAAATAATAGTTGAAGAAAGTTTTTGAAGAGTGTAATCTGAATGGACCTTCTCTCTGTCTGCCGAATGCATGTTGTTGTGCTGCTCAGCTTTGTTTATGAGGAAGTTAATCAGAAATCTCTCTTCCTTTTCCGGTTCTGCTTGTGCCTGTAGTTGTAATCGTGAATCATGCAGTTCAAAACACAGCGTTTATGCTACATGTCAATCGGGTCATTTATGTTTCATTCGATGTCTTTTCTCATTCATTTTCTCAGATGATTTTAACCGAGTCATCCTATCGATGAAAAGAGGTCAGGAGTTCACCGATTATGTCAACGCATCTTTCATTGATGTAAGTGTTTAATGACTATTTTCAAGCTTCAGAGGCGTCTCATGATGAAATGAACATTATTTTCTTTCAACACAAGACCAGGGATACTTGTTAAGAAAGTAAACAGGGACAATTTTAATGTTTTCATTTGAAAAATTCAGAAAGTCTGTGACTGGGTCCAAAAATAACTTTTAGCCAATTTACCATCCACAAATATTTCTTACCCACCATAAACCTGTATTTTACATTATTATATTTTTGTCCAGTAGCATTATTTAGCTATTTTCCCATTTGAACAAGTCAAATGGTAAAAAAACAATGGATCCTAGATAGATTTGTAATGAACTTCCACTGAGATAAAAGCTGTTGGAAAAGAGTTGTCGGATGTTTTTTTAGTAGATATATGAATGAAATGGTTAACATTGCTGTAAGTAAACTTGTGAAATATTATTACGAATTCAAAATAACTGTTTCCTATTTAAATATAGTCAAATGTATTTTATTTGTGTTATCAAAGCTGAATGTTCAGCATCGTCTTCAGTGTCACATGATCCTTCAGAAATCACTCTAATATGATGATTTGGTGTTCAATAAACATTATCATCAATGTTGAAAACAGTTATTTTTTAACATTATAAATGTCTTTACTGTCACCTATATAATCAAACGAATGCACCCTTGCTGAATAAAAGAATTACTTTATTTTGTCTCTTACATTAATGAGGGTAAGGCTGTTATTCTTATAATTCGATTCAAACCATGCATTATGTTGCATTTCCCAATAAACGGTCAAGTTACGGTTTTTATTTTTGTATTTTTGATCCTGGTATGCATTATTCATATATATATCTCATGTGTTTATGTTTTCCAGGGGTACCGGCAGAAGGACTATTTCATCGCCACACAGGGTCCTCTGTCACACACGGTGGATGATTTCTGGAGGATGGTTTGGGAATGGAAGTGTCACTCAATTGTGATGCTAACAGAACTGCAGGAGAGAGATCAGGTACAAACACACACGTTACAAATCCAGTTGTGCATACACTCTCACACAACTTTCAAGAATAGATCGATCCTGTCAGCTTTGTCATTTGGAGTGTGTGTGTTGCAGGACAAGTGTTTTCAGTACTGGCCTTCTGAGGATTCAGTGACTTACGGGGACTTCACAGTGGAGATTAAAGGAGACACGCTGTGCGAGACGTTTAGCCTCAGAGATCTGGTGCTCACATACGGCCCGGTGAGTGCGCATTATGATCTCATTTGCATTGTCAATGCTAACACTGCATGCATTTCCATTTCAACCTTTGAAGTTGATATGTGGTGGCCACTAGACTTGTAGTCAAGACCGCCTAAACCGAGACTAAGACACTACCAAGTCGAGACCAAGACCAAGTCAAGACCAAGACCAAGTTGAGACCGAGACCAAGTCGAGACCGAGACCAAGTCAAGACCGAGACCAAGTCGAGACCGAGACCAAGACCAAGTCGAGACCGAGACCAAGTCGAGACCGAGACCAAGTCAAGAACAAGTCAAGAGACTAAGACACTACCAAGTCGAGACCAAGACCAAGTCAAGACCAAGACCAAGTTGAGACCGAGACCAAGTCGAGACCGAGACCAAGTCAAGACCGAGACCAAGTCAAGACCAAGACCAAGTCGAGACCGAGACCAAGACCAAGTCGAGACCGAGACCAAGCCAAGAACAAGTCGAGACAAAGACCGAGACCAAGTCGAGACCGAGACCGAGACCAAGTCGAGACCAAGTCGAGACTAAGACTGAGACCAAGTCAAGAACAAGTCGAGACCAAGACCGAGACCAACTTGAGACCAAGACCAAGTCGAGACCAAGACCAAGTCGAGACTTTGGTTTACCTTTGAAGTTGATATGTGGTGGCCACTAGACTTGTAGTCAAGACCGCCTAAACCGAGACTAAGACACTACCAAGTCGAGACCAATACCAAGTCAAGACCAAGACCAAGTTGAGACCGAGACCAAGTCGAGATCGAGACCAAGTCAAGACCGAGACCAAGTCGAGACCGAGACCAAGTCAAGACCGAGACCAAGTCAAGACCAAGACCAAGTCGAGACCGAGACCAAGTCAAGAACAAGTCAAGACCGAGACCAAGTCGAGACCAAGACCAAGTCGAGATCGAGACCAAGACCAAGTCGAGACCGAGACCAAGACCAAGTCGAGACCGAGACCAAGTCAAGAACAAGTCAAGACCGAGACCAAGTCAAGACCAAGACCAAGTCGAGACCGAGACCAAGTCAAGAACAAGTCAAGACCGAGACCAAGTCGAGACCGAGACCAAGTCAAGAACAAGTCGAGACCAAGACCAAGTCGAGATCGAGACCAAGACCAAGTCGAGACCGAGACCAAGTCAAGAACAAGTCAAGACCGAGACCAAGTCAAGACCAAGACCAAGTCGAGACCGAGACCAAGTCAAGAACAAGTCAAGACCGAGACCAAGTCGAGACCAAGACCAAGTCGAGATCGAGACCAAGACCAAGACCAAGTCGAGACCGAGACCAAGTCAAGAACAAGTCGAGACCAAGACCGAGACCAAGTCGAGACCGAGACCAAGACCAAGTCGAGACCGAGACCAAGTCAAGACCAAGTCGAGACTAAGACTGAGACCAAGTCGAGACCAAGTCAAGAACAAGTCGAGACCAAGACCGAGACCAACTTGAGACCAAGTCAAGACCAAGTCGAGACTAAGACTGAGACCAAGTCGAGACCAAGTCAAGAACAAGTCGAGACCAAGACCGAGACCAACTTGAGGTCGAGACCAAGACCAAGTCGAGACTGAGACCAAGTCGAGACCGAGACCAAGACCAAGACCAAGTCGAGACCAAGTCAAGAACAAGTCCAGACCAAGACCGAGATCAAGTCGAGACCGAGACCAAGTTGAGACGGAGACCAAGTCGAGACTAAGTCAAAGCTGAGACCAAGTTGAGACCGAGAAAAAGTCGAGAACTAAGACTGGTCGTGAGACATATATCACTAGTGGCCAGTCGGCTGAATTGTAATGTATGTTGGTGTGTATGTGTTTTCCAAACAGGAGAAACAGACACGTTTGGTTCGGCACTTTCATTTCCACGGCTGGCCAGAGATCGGAATCCCAGCCGAAGGAAAAGGGATGATCGACATCATCGCATCGGTGCAGAAACAACAGCAGCAGTCGGGCAACCACCCCATCGCCGTGCACTGCAGGTAAAACTAGCAAAGAAAAAAAACCATTTAGTCCTGGTCTTAGCATTCACATTGGCATTTTGATACCGAACCTAAGGCATAGGGACATGTTCACAACCTGATTGGTCATTTTTTTATTACATACATTTTGCGACAGAACTTAGCGAACATTGAAAACAATGCTGTGTTTTGGGCTAAACACGTTGTTGTATGTGCATAGCCTACATTTGATGACATTTTGACCAGCTGGGAACTCGTGAAGAGCTTATAAAGTGTGTAAATGAGTCAAAACAGCAGCAGCAATCCCTCCGTCACACACACACAAACACAGATCTGCGGCGACGAGACGTGGTTCTGACGCCTGTACTGAACTATGATCGGCAACATCACGTCTATGATGAGAAAAAACAGCTATGCTTGAGCATTCGGGCCTTTTTAGGGTCGCATCTGGTGACATCATATCCCAGCTTTTGGCTCGTTTACGTGTCTTTGCTCCGGGTTGTGTTCATATTTCAGAGTTTGTTTGGAAGCGGACAGATAGTCTCGGTCCACTTGTTTGGTGTCACCAGGGTTCAGATGGCAGCGTTCACACTTATTCATATGAACCGCACTAACAGAGCAATCGCAACAGTTCCTTTTAATGGAACCACATCCTAAAATAAGTCATACTGTAGATCATGGTTTCCCAAACTGTTTTGCCATCCAAACCCTTTTGAGATCAAATATTTTCTTGAAATACCTAGTGAGATTATTTATCAACATGTTCACAGTTCACTAATGTCAGAGAATGTCACAGGGATGCAATTTTTTCCGCATTTATTCAGATTTCTGTTTTCAAACCATAAAAGTATCACCCTCATAAATCTGAGAAAAGTTGCCAATTGCCTGGTAACTTTCATGAACTTTGACAATGCATGTGACTCGTGTCACAAGTGCGTTGTGAAGTTCATGTGAGAAATAACGCATACCCAAACCTGTCTACCCAAATAGTGCTTTAACAATATTACTCGCGCGAACATCACAATGCACTTACGTCACGTCACAGCGTCTCTCCTGCAAACGCTCGTCTGACAGGAGACCGGAGGTTGCACTTTATTTTACAGTACATGTACTCGCATGTTCTTATGGTGTACTTACCTAAGAGAATACTGGGTAATATAAGGTAATAACAGGGCTGTTCAACCAGCACTTTCCTAACTCGACTGTCATGTCTTTTTGTTTTTGTGTGTGTGTGTGTATTCTGCAGTGCCGGAGCGGGTCGGACCGGTACGTTTATCGCTCTCAGTAATATTCTGGAGCGAGTGAAAGCCGAGGGTTTGCTGGATGTGTTTCAGACTGTGAAAAGTTTACGAATGCAGCGGCCACACATGGTGCAGACAGTGGTCAGTTCAAACCTTCACACACTTCATATCCACTATCCATTTACACACACAACATTATAAACACAGTAATCATCATTTCTGCTAGAATACTGCATTTTGACTTTAATTTGTGAATTTTATTATGTTTAATTCAAGTAATATATATTAATCAAGTAATATATATATTAATATATATTATATAAGTAATATATTTTAATTATATAAAAATAGGTAAATTGTTATTTTCACCCCCAAAAAAGTGTCAAAATGACAGGATTCTGAAAGTGTCTTATGGGATTTGAAGGCAGTTTTAATTTGTGAATTTCATTGTTTAATTCAAGTAATATTTATTAATCAAGTAATATATATATTAATATATATTATATAAGTAATATATTTTAATTATATAAAAATAGGTAAATTTTTATTTTCACCCCCAAAAAAGTGTCAAAATGACAGGATTCTGAAAGTGTCTTATGGGATTTGAAGGCAGTTTTAATTTGTGAATTTTATTATGTTTAATTCAAGTAATATATATTAATCAAGTAATATATATATATATATTAATATATATTATATAAGTAATATATCTTAATTATATAAAAATAGGTAAATTGTTATTTTCACCCCCAAAAAAGTGTCAAAATGACAGGATTCTGAAAATGTCTTATGGGATTTGAAGGCAGTTTTAATTTGTGGATTTTATTATGTTTAATTCAAGTAATATATATTAATCAAGTAATATATATTAATATATATTATATAAGTAATATATTTTAATTATATAAAAATAGGTAAATTGTTATTTTCACCCCCAAAAAAGTGTCAAAATGACAGGATTCTGAAAGTGTCTTATGGGATTTGAAGGCAGTTTTAATTTGTGAATTTTATTATGTTTAATTCAAGTAATATATATTAATTAAATAATACAAATATTCTATTTTGAATGTCAATTTTACATGAATTGAATAATAAATTAATTGTATAAATACATAATATGCATTATTAGTATAAATAAATTGGTAATATTGATTAAATTAGTACGATTAAAACAATTATTAGAATCATGGTTGTGATATTAATGTCAATTCCAAAGTATGTGCTGTTTAAAAAGTATAAAGTAATATAAAAAAAAAACGAAACAACAAGATAAACGATTCATTAATACGTAATCGATTAAATTATGATTATTATTATATAATTAAAATATAAGAAAAGATTTGAAAAGCAGTAATAAAAGTACATAAAAAATAACATAAAAAATAACAACTGACGTAATTATCATATTTGATAACTGTCATAGTAAAGTGTTACCACATTTTCTCAATATTTCTGAATAACCTGCTTGAATGAATCCTTGCTGATTGTTGTTTCTCTCCGCCCACAGGAACAGTATGACTTCTGCTACAGAGTGGTACAGGACTTTGTCGACATTTTCTCAGACTATGCCAATTTCAAATGATCTGATCTGCCTTAAATGTTTGAGTTTGATGCTTTTTTACACGTCAGTCGATCAGGATTTTACACCGCGACTGGAAGATAATTGCGCTCTATTTTGCTATGCACTTCTCCTCAATGTTACTAAATGACCATATCTATCTGTAATATACTAAGGCTACTAAAGTTTTAAAAACTGTACATTGTTCCGTCTCCTTTATAATATATTTAAATGGGTTATTTTATTTTATTTCGGTCTTAAATCATCTCTCTGATGATGGATCCATTCCAGTTGGGCTTCTGTTGTTATTGTAAAATAGTGTTTCGTCTGTTTGTTTGTTTGTTCGACTAATTATTTTTATTTTTTATCAAGCGATTGGTGTAGAATTTGTAAAGCTGTAGCCAGGTGGTATGTATTTATGCACTGTTGCAGACAGGACATCCTGCGAGATAACGCATGTATGTGAATGTCCCATGCCATTTTATTTATTAGATGCAGAGTTGTTGTCTTACATTTTATGAAAGATATCATTGTCAAAAAAGTTTTTTTTTTTATTCCTGTCTTTAACATTGTGCTCATCAGCCATTGCAAATGTGAACTTTTTAAGAACTTTTGTTTGCCAAGCAGAAAATACAACACCCATCACATTGAGAGAGCGAGTTTTATTGGTATTATACCAAGTATTATTGGTGAGAAAGGCACAAACACATTTTCATGGTTTAACATCAGCAAGAATTTATATTAGATATGATCTTGCACAGAAACAGCAACTGTATGAGACTCGTGACCTCTGACCTTAAACGTCCTGCCTCTGTTTCCCTGAGAATGATGCTGAGAAAAACGGCACAGGTTTTTAAAGCACACACATCACCGATTGTTTGCCTTGCAGGAGGCCAAGGATTTACAAATACATGAACAAATGCATTATGAAATCACATCGTTGTCCTGCGTCTTATTTTTGTTGGGTTTATTTGCTCAATTAAGGTTTAATCAGCTTTTCCATACGATGAAATAATATTAAAATGGCTCAATAAAGGTTTAAATACATTTTTAAATATTAAATAATAAACATCTAAATGGCAAATTTTGCATTTGCTTTAAACGGGTTTAAAAAATATATAATAAAATAATTATTTGAAATATGAAACGACTAAATAAAGGTTTAATCAACTTAAAAACGTGTCATAAAATATTACAATAAATGTATAATTAATAATTAATATCACATAAAAATTAATTTAAAACGAATTTAATTAAGTGATCCATTTTTAAATGTCTAATAAAAATAAATAAATTGATAAATGATTTTAGGTTCAGTCATCTTCAAAATGTTTAATATATATTAAAATAAATAAACCAATAAAAAAAATGCTAAGGGTTTGGTCAACTTCAAAATGGTCATAATAAATAATTAAAAGCCATAAAGGTTTAATCAACACAAATAAAGAATTTCTTTAAATTTAAATCCAAAGAAACAACTGTTCTGACCTAAACCCTTGAAATGCAACAGAACCGTTTACTGCGAGAAATGATGCGACAACGTAAAGAATTTAGTCAAATTACAGTACAAATGACCACAATGCTTATTTCTGGGTAATGTGATGTTGAATGTTATTCTTTCAACTAATTTAATACAGGATTGTGGGCTATCTGAGGCAGTAATGTTTTAATGAATGACCCTAGACAGGATGGTGTCATGCAGGACATTGAGTTTGGTTGAATCAAAGCTACTAAATCATTAATATAACACCATCTCTGGCTGAATGTTCAAGTTTTGGACTAAACTGGAAGTCAGAGCAAACTTCCCATCAACACAACACAGCTACTGCCATCTAGTGGAGATGCTTGTTAGTTTTTTTTTATTGCCATGAACTTGTGAACACAGGACCTATACGAGCATGTAAAACACGTACTTGTGTTTCACTTTAATGTATGTTTATATTATTATTATTCATATGTATTATTAATATCATTATATATTATGTATGGGTCTAAACAATAGGCATACTGTAGCCAACAGTAAAATTATTTTATATTTTACTACTAATAATATAGCCTATTGCTAATATTATTATATCAAAATTTTCTAGTATTTATCTTTAATGTACTTTTTCATTTTCTATTAATTTTAAATATAAATTAATAATAAATAAAGTAGCTCCCTTTGGCATTTTGTTTAAAAATGTGTCATTAAGACTTCTGTCTGCATTTCTGTTATCCAGTCGGTAGGTGTCGCTGTTGTATTTATCAATCTGCTCGCGTCTGAGGCCTAATGATGATGAGACTTCCGTGAAGAAATGGCTCCCCTCTGGTAAATAATCTTACACCTTTCTTTTACTGTCTATGTCTTACACACTCGATTCGGTTAGCAGTTTTATTTTAAACAAACCTACAGATGCAACAAAGTGCCATGATATTAGATGTAGGCTATGTATGTTTGACATCCTGAAACATTAATGGTGAGTTATGCTTCCCGTTTGTTTTGTTCAGGTTGTTGGGTAAAAGTGTAGGAAGAGCCTAACGTTGACTTTATTAATTAATGTAAGTTAATGAGTATAGTAATGAAATAAGTACCTTTTTCTTTATGTATCGCGAAAAAAATGCACCATAGGTGGGGCCGAGCTCTTAAAGGGATAGTTCAGTTTGAAATGAATTTTTGGTATGTTTTAGCTTAGTTATACCTCAAGGGCATCCAAGATGTAGCTAGGTCTTAATCTTTATGACCTGTTTCTCGTGGTTTCTCAATACAATTCATAAAAAGGATTTGTGTCATTTTAAATAAACGTTAAAAACTATGGTCAAATGTTCAGTGAACAAAGATTTTTAGAATTTTAGCACAGTGTTTTCTTTATATAGTGTTTATATGCCGACTAGTAAATAGGCTACATTAAGTTTTGTCATGCTAGCATGTATGGGAACTTTTAAACCATGATGTATGTGACCCAGTTCACCCCTACATGTCAGTTGTGTTTATACATCTGCTCATTTCTGTCCATAAGTGTAGAGTTTAGAGATTGTTATGCAGTGAAATCCTCAGACTGACTGTTAAAACTAAGACCTTCCCAATGAGATTGACTCCTGGGCACTTCAGTCCCTCCAGAGGCGTACGCTCCTCTCTTCCAATCCGGCTAAAGAGACCAACTTTGGCTCTTACTTTTCTCAGCATGCCTTTGTCCAAAGTGCTTTAATAAATTCTAATTTCTTACAAAAGAATAAGAAACTACAAGAGGTTAGGATGAAAATGTGGAATGGTTTCTGCCAAAGCCCAGTAGAGAGACTGTGCCCTAATAGAGCTGGGCATTAGGGGCCGAGCTCTGCCAACATGGCTCTCGGATGGGGCCGTGTGTTCAAATGCAGTTCAAAACAAATGAAGCCGTCTCTTAAGATGAGAGCGGATTTAATTTCCTAACAGAGCAGGTAGTCGCCTGGAATGAATTATAAGGAAGGATTTATTGTTCATGTGTGTGTGATTATGCATATATATTGTGTCTAAATACATGCAGTGTTGCTTCATGACATGCTCTCAAAAATGTTAAGATATTGAACTAGCTGGCTCGTGCAAAAACGTTTATTCCCATTTGAGACGCAACAACCAACGCACACATTTAAATCAATATAACGAATAGCAAGCTAAAATAGAAATTGGATGTAAGATTTTAGTGTAAGAAAGGAAATGTCAGTGAACAAATTTGATTAATCATCTTATTTATGCAACACACAAACCAAAACAGATGTACAGTATGATATTAACCTGTAGTTCCTGCTTATCATGCTGTCGTTACTCTCCTTTTATCATATCTCAGTTGCACATGGTGGTACTTTGCTGTTATTTTCCCAAATGTGAACGAGGTTGTTGAACTCCAAAAAGTAGTTCATATGATTTTTGCATTATATTCTATAGTATACAGTAGATCGATCCTGTTCAGTACAAGATTGTGGAGAATTTGGAAGTATGAAAAGTATAAAAGTTGCATGAATCAATGCAAGTTTTATGGTAATTTAGTATGGAAAAAAGCTAAATATGCCATGTTGTTTAATGCTTCTTTAAATAGATATAAACACTGTTCGTATTCTCACACAAACCGCTCGTTTCGTGTCTTAGGCCATCAATGTGTACTTACATTTACGAGAAATTAAATCATGTTTAATTTGGACTTCTCTTTGCATGTTCTTTAAGGTGGTGACCATAGACCTGCATTATATAACGGTTTGACCTAAAAAACATCAAAATTGAGACTACTGCGGAAACAAAGACACCTACATCTTGGATGCCCTTGAGGTAAGCTAAAACATACCAAAAATTCATTTCAAAGTGAACTATCCCTTATAAGTGAACTATTGTACAACTTAAGCAATGACGGACGTCCGAGTAAACAAGACGGAAGGAAGTTAGCAAGTGTAAAGTGGGCTTAAACGCGAACACTTGAAATGCTTCAGGTGGACAGTGACCGTAAACATGCATGCATGCACGACGTTAAACGTTTTGCACATCACTAGCATTCATGCACGCGTGTCTTTTCTTCCCCTCTCTGTGAAGTTCTTGCTCTAATGTGCTCCTCAGAAGTGTGACTGGTTGTAGGTCGTCTGAAGTCGGAACGGCTCCCCTGATGCCAGACCTTGCTTCATTAAACCGCTTCTATAATTGCTCGACTCCAACACAAAACGCCTTGTATCTGTACATTTGCAAATTTCATTTAACCTTAGCCTCTCCTTCCGTACCCCCGGTGGATAATCACTTTGTTTACCACAAATTAAACTCGGCCTGATTGTTTACCAGCCGCAAAGTCCCACCACATTTCTAGAAGCCTCGTTTATTTATTTCAATAATCGCAGAGCAGGGAGTCATGTATATGCCGTGCTCATCTACATGAAAATTGTACAATTAACTTTTGATTAACCAGCTTGTTGGGGTTTTTTTTCGTGCAGTTTCTCCCCGCGCTCTGCCGTGTAATGGCTAGTCTGAATTTTAATAAACGCCTTTAAATTGGGAGCGGCCCTTCCTTTGAGTCGCATGAATGCGAGCGAGCCGCCGCAGCGTTGAATAAACGCTCGCTAGAACAATAGCGCAGCCTGCCAGTTTGTGGTGTCATCTTTAAGTATGCAAGGATGAAAGCCTTGCGATTTGTCCATCAAAACAAATAAGAAAGGAAGCCGCTAATTCAGATGGCAGGAAGTCAAGTGCTTTTGAGTGCCCGCGCCACGCGCTCCCCCCGCGCTCATTGCTAATGACTGCGCGTGTGTGTGTGTGTGTGTGTGTGTGTGCGCGCTACTGAGGGAGGTGGTAGGGAAATTCTCTGTCACGTAGTGTACTTATCTCAAGTCTTGAGAACAATTAGGGCGGACAATAACTATAGAATGAGTTTTTGTTGTGCGCCGGCTGGCTGTAGCAGCAGCCGAGTGTGATAACGCTGTCGAGAGACCGCTGGAAACCCTCTCCAGACTCCGGCCGGGGCTGCAGACCCTCGATTTCTCTCTCCTCGGCCTCCGGTGCAACCAGCTCCGAAAGGTTGCACTTTTATCAAGCAGAATGAACGGCATCTTGACGCATTTCTTCTGGGAAACCGTAAATCCCTTTGAGGGGATGAACAATAAGAGTTGACTTTTGTAAACAGGGTGGTAAACAACTGATGCAAAATCTTTTTTTTTTATCAGGCTCTTAAAGAAAATCTAAAGGTCACAGATTACAAATGCTACAGTTGACAAATGCGCTAATGCCATTCAGCTATTAAAGGGATAGTGCACCCAAAAATTAAAATTCTGTCATTATTTACCCTCAAGTTGTTTCAAACGTGTATTTTTCTTCTGCTGAACACAAAAGAAGATGTCTTGAAGAATGTCGGTTAACAAACGGTTGATGGACCCCATTGACTTCTATAGTAGGAAAAACAGTTGTGTGGAAGTCAATGGGGTCCAACAACTGTTTGGTTACCGACAT